AGGCAGGCAGGCAGGCAGGCAGGCAGGCAGGCAGGCAGGCAGGCAGGAAGGAAGGAAGGAAGGAAGGAGAGGGAGGGAGGGAGGGAGGGACCGACCATCTCAGGGACGGAATGAAGGAAGCTTCCAAATTAGTTTTGATAAATAAATCTAATGCACTCAGATTTCCTGATTTCCCAGGCTGCCAAGATCAAGGAGAAGAAGCAATTTGTCAGAACAACATTAAATGTTTCCTTTCCTGGGATAATGCATAGATGGGAACTTGTGGGTGAATTAAGGTAAGCTGAAGCTGCATTCAGCTAAACCTGCAGTGCCCTCATATGGTTCATCAGCATGATCAGCAAGAAGATAGATGAAAGGCGTAGTGGCGTCCAGACGCAGGAAGCCCCCGTTCTCCTTAGTAAGAGAGACACAACTTATACCACCCTCCCAAACAGTTCTTGCAAGCCCCAGAAAGATCCCCAAAGTTTGAGCAAATTATAATGTGTGGAAAGGAGAAACACAGGAAAATTATTTATCTATTTATTGGGTTTATTTATTTAAAACATGTATATAGCCACCCATTTTACAGCGAACTCTGGGAGACTCCCAACGGTTAAAACAACACCAATAATAAAACAACATAATACATACAAATATCTATTAAAAACCACAAACATTAAAAACCTGGCACCTAAGTTAAGCTTTCCCAGGCATTTCACATTACCTTAACCGTTTTAGTTATTTGGGAGAAGGTGTGTCTCTGTGGCGGCTAAGAGCCGACACTGATGTGATGGCACAATCGGGATTTATGTTATGCCATGCCATGCCATGCCATGCCATGTCACGTTATGTTATTTGTTTTATTAAATTTATATGGCCACCCATCTCACTTTCATGTGACTTGGGGTGGCATACGTAGTTAAAACACAAGGAAAATCACAATCTACCGTTAAAAACAAATTAAAAATTAAAAGCTACATGCAAAAGGCAAGGATAAAAAGACAGAGGAGAGTGCAGTCTTGCCGGCCCCCTGCCATGAAGGGCTTTAAAAGTCCTCACCAGCACCTTGAATTGGACCCTGAAGCAAACTGGCAGCCAATGCAGCCTGCGAAGCAGAGCTGTGACATGAGCTGTTCTCAGAGCGCCCATAACTGCCCACACCACTGCATTCTGCACCAGCTGAAGCTTCTGGATACTCTTCAAGGGCAGCCCCATGTAGAGCGCATTATTTGGGAGCTGACTAGGGCGTGAGTGATGGAGAGCAGGGCCTCCCGATCCAGAAATGGATTTAGGTTTAATACAGTGAGACCAAATTCCCTTGGCAAAAAAAAAAAAAACAAACATTGGTCATCTCTAGCCTGTAGCACAAATGGGCAATCTGCGACTCTCAGCCTGCCAGCCTTCTGGTTTTACTCTCTCTCCTGCTTTGCAAGAGGTGAGCTGGAAGGAGAGGGTTCAGAGAGAGAGTGAAAGGGGAGCACTGGGGGAAAGGGCAGAAATGCTGCTGGATGGAGAAGGGGGTGAGAGTGTGTGCCAAGGCGTGCAAAGCAGGCTGCCAGGGAGCATTCAGGACTGCATGCCTCAGGCCCAGGTGGCCCCTTCCCAGGGACCCCGAAACGTGGGCCGTGCGTGCCGCCCATCTGGGGGCACTTGCCTGCAGCCCATCAGACGCCCAAGCCGTGAGCCGCAATCCTCTGATCCAGCTGCTGAGCCGGCTGGTTCTTGGGGGATGAGTGCCACCTGGCGATCAGCTGGTAGAAGAACCCAGCCCTTCCGCTCCGGCTAGGAAAAGACGGGCAGGCTGCCCGAAAGAAGGCGCCCCCTCCTCCGGGGGCTGTAAGGGCGGGGTCGCCCTAGCGCCCCAGCCAGCAAAAGACCGATGCTCGGCTGGAGCGCCGGCGACCCA